ATAAAAGATAAACAGTAAACAAAATTATAAACAATGTTCGGGGCCTGACAATGAAAGACGCCACCTAACAGTAGATTTTGTGCAGAATCAGAGGTTGGGAACCATATGAACCCTTTAGGTCCTGCCTCTTGTGATCCACGTGGAGGTGGGGCATAAGCCAAGCCTAACCATGGCTTGGAAAACTTGCCATATACAGGGACGTACATGTGCGTTCCCGGTTCGGTGCACAACACAAGAACTTGTAGGGCAACCTGGACCGCCCCCACCCCTCACAGTAGCTATAACAGTGCAACCAATAACTTGCCAATGAGCATATCATCTTAACCACAGACCTGGCCTAAAGGGATAGTTGTAGGTATAGTTACAACAACAGTATAACATTTCATCTCTTTTTGTGTTTTTTTTCTATTTTGCTATAGCGTACTCATTTAGTACCAAGTGTGTGTCGCGTCACTCTTGTCAGTGTGGTTGCATCCTATTACGGCTCAACAGTAAGCCAAGGTGACATTGTCCTGTCCAGGATAATGAAACAGTTCCCAACCTTTATCAGGATTTTCCTGCTTTGGTCCAGCCAGGTCTTATCTTCTTCGGAGATGCTACAGTAGTTGGTTTGTGGGCATCTGTTAGAAAGCCCCAAGTCCACAGCAGTCGCATGCCATCCTCAGGTTCATTAGCTTTGACTTGTGCTCCATTTCTCCAGTTTCGGTGGGAAATTCCATCTGTATGCAATCTTGTGGTCTCTCAGACATTTCATGACATTAATAAATTCCCACCATCTTTCCTTTGTGGTGGCGGAGAGATCTACGAATAATGATATGCTAGTGTATTCACCTAGTATGGCTTTTGCTTTTCTGTGCGCTGTTAGTATGGCCTCTCCTGTTTCTAAATAGTGGAATTTCGCCACTTTATCCCTGGGGACTTCTTGTGCCAGATTTTTAGGTTTGGGCATGTATTGGACCTTGTCAATATGCAATTTGGCAGTAGACAGGGACAGCTGGATTGCCCGGAACATACTGTGTAAGTACTGTAGTATGGAGCCACCTGTCACAGTCTCTGTGAATATTGTTTCAACACGTTTGTTTTCCTCTTCCAGCTTGTGAAGCTTATCCATCATTTCATTGTTGGCTGTACAAAGCTTGTCTGTTTTTACTTCGCCGGTGAACGGAAATTGATCTGTATCGTGGAGCTAAGTGCCGAGAGCATGTTCGCCAATATTTTTCCTGATAATGTTATGTCATCCCCTAGTGGATTTGCCATGTCTGAATCTTACCCTGCATCATGCACCATTGCTGGGGATCTCACCCCTTTGCTATCTTGGTCAAGCCTGCTCTTCTCCTTCCGACCCTGTCGGAAGAACTCATGGCTCCTCTGTGCTTTTGAAGGCGACACAGTGCTCACCTGCTTAGTTGCACCAGGCTCCGAGGGTTTTGTAGCCGTGTGTGATGTGGGCAAGTTATTAAATTTTTCCACGACCGGCTTCCCTAGTGCAGAGCTGTATTATCATGCGACCCCTGCACTCCCCTGGAATGCCCGCCCCGACCCACTTGCTTTTAATGCATATTTTGAAAATGAATAAACTTGCATATCAGTTTTAGAGACATAAACTTGGCACATCATGGCAATCAGTTTTAGAGGCATACAAATAGTTACTTACAGACTCAGGCAGAATCAGAAGCTCTGTGTCCCGCTCTTTCAGTCAGGCACCTCACATTGAGTATCCAATGCTGAACTAATGTATAGAGGACCTTGGTGCAAGTATGTTTTCTGGGCCCCCTTCTAGTGCACATATGGCAAAAAGGTAGATCTCGATCTGTTGGAAATCTCCAGGAATGCTATGCCAGCTGGGAATCTACAATTTGCCCACAGTTGCAGGGTTGTATTTGTTTGTACTGCAAAGCGGAATTACAGATGACATTACATCAGAAGACACTCTGCATGCCAATTGCATGAGCTGGATCCGGTCCAAAGTGTTTGAGTTAAGTTGGATGATGAAAGGAGGTAGAAGCTATTGTGTGGGCAGTCCCCCAGCAAAGGTCCACACAGAAGGCAAGACTGTTGCCTGCTGAAATAGAAGAGACCTTCAACCAATTCTTGAGAAGTTAGATGCTAAGAAATTGGGACCACAGCTAGGGGAATCTCCAGTCATGTTTATCTCCCTTGAGGCAAGAGTCCGGTGTGGATACAGTAATGCCTCCTGTGGAGTCACAAACACTTTCACAAAGGCTTGGAGAAGGTCCTTGCAAAATGACTTTGAATAGAAGACTTGTGAAGCTTCCAACGCGCTTCCGAGATTAGCACTGTAGTTAGAACAGTGACGTGAAGAATGGGCAGAGTAATCACATAGTCACTGTGGACTAGAGATAGTATAATTACCCCGATGTCCAATATAGTATAATTATTCTGGTATAATTATTTTTTTCTGTTTATTTGTTTTGTTTGTCTGTTTTAAAAAAGAAAGGGGGTGGATCTGGACTAAAGGCTGTCATTTTTAAAATGTAATGCCTGCTGTTGAACAAAGTATCAAATCCCAATATTGTAGTCAAACTCTGGGTGAAACGTAGCAATTAATAACATTCGCTTCTGAGTTGTAGCGATCCAATAACAGTAACCAATAGTTTGTAACATTGAAGTTGAGGTGCTCTCCGGGACAAAACCTACTTGATCTGAATGGATTAACTCTTTAATAAAAGTTTTCATTCTAGTGGAAAGAACTGTAGCATATATCTTCATATCTACATTAATCAGTGAAATTGGTCGGTAGTTGGTAATCTCTGTTGGGTTCTTGCCTTGTTTTAATATTGGAATAATATTTACTCTAGTCAGCTCTTCTGGAAATCTGTCTCCCTCTAGAACATCATTAAACACCCTAGTTAAGACTTCTTAGATACTTGAAGCGTATAACTTATAGAAAAAATTTGGAAAACCATCAGGGCCTGGAGACTTATATTTTTTCAGATCTTTTACGGCGTGTTCTATTTCTTCCTTTGTGATAGATCTATTTAATTGTTCTATTTGTAATGTTTTAAGGGCCGGGAGGGATGTCCTCTCAAGATATTTCTCAATTAATTCTATTCCGGGTTTAGATTCTACATTATATAATTTGGAGTAATAATCATTGAATGCTTGGCCGATTTCTTCAGGATTAACACATGTTTTTGAATCAATCTTTAATTTGTGTACTCTATTATCTGTTTGTTTTTTCTTCAGTTTTCTAGTGAGCATTTTATCTGACCTGTTTCCTCTATAACACTAGTTCGTTTTCATTTTTTTCAAGATTCGCTGTTATTCTTTCTGTGATTTTATCTTTAATTAGGGCTTTATTTTTAATGAGTTTATCTAAAATATCTTGTGATAGATTAATTTTATACTCTCTAGTCAATTGGTAATGATCTTGATAAAGATTTGATAATGGTTGGCCAACCTGCTTCTTTAATCTACTTTGCATTTACGCGCATTACGGCCTTAAAAGCCCACCAAAATGTGCCTGAAGTGGTATCTGCTACATTATTTTCCAAGAAAAAGTCAGCTATTTTTTGTTCTATAAGATTACAGTTGTCTGTATTTTCTAGTAAAGATTCCCTCAATCTCCAGGTAGTTCTATTAAAAAGCGGGTATTCACTTGTCATTTCCATTATGCTATGTTCGGACCAAGTTTTGTCGATTATTTCTATCTTTTTAACCTTTTCTACTTGCATAAGATTACCCCATATCATATCTATTCTTGATAGAGAGTGGTGAACCCTGGAAAGATGAGTATATTCCATTTCCTCCGGATGGAACACCCTCCAAATATCGAATAGGTTATTTAGATTTAGAATATTCATTAGTGATTTTGCTTTTTTACAGAATGTCTGCTAATAGAAGCGCCTTCTGGAAATTTTTTATCTTGTATTGGATCTATAATTGAGTTAAAATTGCCTGCTAATACAAGAGTACCCTCCTTTACCTCCTCCACGCTTTCCAGAATTTCCCTTAATAATGTATTTGGTGCAACATTCGGGAGATATATATTTACCCAGGTTAACTTAATGTGGTTTACTTTAGTTACCAATATCATATATTGGCCATCTTTGTCCAGGAATTGATATAACATTTCTACCTGGATAGCACTAGAACACAATATGGCCACTCCACATTTCTTTTTATTGTCAATTCTTGAGGCATGTATCACTAAAGGGAAACCCATAGGGTTCCATTGACGTTTATCTTTCGTTCGCCAATGGAGCTCCTGAAGGAAACATATATCAGCATGTACTTTTCTTAAATAGTTCAGCACCGTTATCCTCTTAACTGGTATATTAAGACCCTGCACATTTACAGACACCAATTTAACCTAGTCCTGCTCTCCTGTTTTCCACTCTATGCCGCCATTCAAATAATAATTAATACAAACATTTCTAACTATGCTTTCCACCTACTCATAATGAGAACCTTCCAGGATCTCATATTCCTTTCTTACTAGACACGAATCAGGTGAGTTATTCACCAAGATCTTATTTCGCATGATATTTTTCATACGAAATCTATCTCATTAGAGACATAAAGAAGATGACCAAGCCGCATAATTCCTTTAATTATTTTCCTTTGTTCCCTGTTCGCATCTCTCCATCCGCTCCCCTCTTTTGACATATAGAGCATCTATCCCTTTAATACTCCTCTGCTATTACTTAATAATATTCACGATATCATACAGATTATTATCTTCAAAGGTGGTAGTATTTCATATTTCTCAATGGAGAGATAAAAAAAAAAAAAAAAGAACCTTGCCCATTTCCATTCATCCATGAGTCTTGTTGTGTGTATATATGCCATATATTTGTAATACCATAAATCATTTATCGTCTTGGCATCTACACCTTAAAGCTCTCTTATATCTCCTTCTACTATGGCCTCAATTGGTGATCTCTAATTCCTTGTAAGGAGGCCATATCAGGCAGCAATAATAGGAGAAAAGAAAGGATGAAAAAAAAAAAGTTCCTTTAACTTATTTTCTTCTTCCTTTCTATTCCGGGTTTGTTCTTATTATGGTGCTCTTTATGCATTTAGGATTCTTCGTTCAATCCACTGTCTGACTTCTTGGGGTGTTTTGTAGAAATTCCATCTATTATCGCCATATACACTTAGAGTCGCTGAGGAGATCCAACGGAATTTAATGTTATGAGATTTTAATATAGTAATCTCAGCAGAGAAACTTCTTCTTCGTAATCTTGTTATATAAGAATAATCTTGGAATACGAGTATATTTCTCAGCTGAGTTTCTAGCTGATTTGGGGATCTACTTGCTTTGAAGACTTGGTCTTTTATCTTAAAGGAAGAAAAATGTACTATTACATCCCTTGGGACACTTTGTGCAATTCCCCTTGGTTTAGGGAGTCTATGCCATTTATTCATTAGGAATGGATATAATGTAATGTGGACTCCCAATTTTTCAAAAAATTCCTCCAAGAATGTTTTTAGTTCTTCATCCTTTACTTCTTCCTCTATATTTCGAAATCTGAGGTTCTGTCTTCTGGCACGATCTTCTATGATTCAAAAATTGCTTGTCCCTTTTTTTAATAATTGATTAGTCTCATCCTTCTCAGCAAGTCTGTGTTCCATTTGATTTAAACGTAAACTTAAATTCTCAATCTCTTGTTTAATACCCAAGGCGCTAGATTTAATTTCATCCTTAAGTGTTTCCACCATGGATGTATACACTCTTTTAAAAAGACTTGTGTTACAAATTGATCTTCAGATTCTTGGGAGGTCTCTAGTAATTTCTGGGGCACTTTTTCGGTATTGGCAATCATAGAGTTTTCTTTTGTGGCAACTGGTGAATAAAATCCCGGTGGATTCTTGTCGAGTTTATTCTCTTTTTTGTTCCTTCTTGTAGCCTGGCCTTTAGTCGCCATTCTAGCTACTCACTTTTCCTTTCTCCTTCTTTTTCCACTGGGTCTTCTTTTCCCCTTCCTTCTCTTTTCTTTTACCTTATCTGCTATGTCTCTTTAAGAGAGAGACATTTTCCAGAAGAGGTAATGACAGAGTAACTAAGAACAGGAAAGAAAAAAGGCAGAATCTCAATAGTTCTTTTGGACAGGAATAGTATGGCAGAGTCTCAAATACATTGGAATTTTTACTGCACATTTAGTCTGTCTTTACTTTTAACCTGTTATTACAATGGAGTATAGATATCGCTCTCTTTTTTATGTAAACCACGTCAGTAGTTTTTTTGGACAGGAATAGTGTGACAGAGTCCCGAAAGCAGTGAAATTGATTTTTGCTCCACATTTTGTCTGGCTTTTCTTTTAACCAGTTATTACATTGGTGTATGAATATCTTTTCCCTTCCTTTTCCTATGCACCTTGTCACAGTTGTCAGGGGTAAAATCTATTTTAATTTTCTTTATACTCATCTGCTGCTGCACTGGCCTCTTTCCAGATTAGTTGCTGTTTTCACTGATGTTTTATGCCAATCTCCGTACGCTGTCCACCTCAATACCGGCACCATGCTCCCGGCGTTCATCTGCTCCAGTTCGGCTCAGCCCCAGACATCAGCACACGCGGATAGACGTCCTCGCCCCGATCTTTGACCCCTCTAATAAGACTCTCTCCAATCCCTCCAAACAGCTGCCGCTGCCTCTCACGGAGGACTCCCAGACCAGCTTCAATAGCTGCCGATGAATAGCAGACAGCAATTGGCATTGAGACTGCAATTTCTGGCATGGCATTTAGCTCCCATTTGCTTCAGTTGCGGTCAGTCTCCTCCTTCATGAGTGCGCTCGCCCATGCGTCACGTCTCGTCATCCGTCCCACCTGATTGATAGGCTTATCAGTCATTTTAATAGAAATTAACCCTTTCAGTGACACTTTTATCTTTTTTTCTTCTTCCTCCAATGTGTGCACTGGCTAAGCCAGGACTAAGTTAGGTTGTGATGTCAATTAACTGCTAAAACTTCAAAGATATACACTAAGCACCATAAGGCATCATAAACCCCCTGGCACAGCCCAATAGTAATCTGTTAAACAGGTTTGATATTTACCTGACTCTGTGGAACTTCTATGATGTTTCTGGTCTAATCTGCTATGGCAGTGGTTCCCAACCTCTGGTACACGTACCCTCATGGATACAAACCAGTTCCCCCAGGGGTACGTGCAAAAAAATCTGTTAGGCAGCTCACAGGTTGAGGTGGCCCATTGGGTGGCCCATACACTTATGGTCACCCAATGGACATGTGCCATCAGTGTCCCAGTCATGCATCAGACTGGGCCCTTATTGATCCACATCATCTTAGAATTCCATATGATTCGTGGGTGGTACAAAATACTATTGGACTGCTTGCTAGCATCATAATAACCCAAATTCGATCGGATTAATTCAACATTCGGACCTGAATTAGTTTGCACATAAGAATATGCTGTGTGTCAGGGCACAGGCCTGTGGGTCCAGGTAAGAGACTAGTGATCCTGACAGGGAGTCAAGAAGTGATATCTTGTCACTTCCTTCTAGTTAACAAAGATTGATCTGTGTGGGACCAAGAGAAGAAGGCAGAGAGCAAGAGGTGGACAAGCAGTGCAATTCCCAAACTCTCAACAGCCCTAGCCAGAAGAAGCCACCTTCCACTTTTTGTGTGTGTCATTGTCCCCTACCCCAGGCCCTGTTGTGTCTTTCTGTCTTCTGACAGGAAGCTTTTCATTGCTTCAAGCGAGCACTTCCTATCAGACCACGTAAAGGATGAAGAATATCCTCTACCTGCTGTCCATGCAGTCACACTACCATAAGTGACTGGCAGGAGTGGGAGCACTCTGCTGTGAACTTTATTCCTGCTGGTCATCTGGAGCCTGGACATTGCACCTTCCAGGCCAGTGCGCTGGCCCTGCCTGTCACGTGTATGGAGAACCTGATAACCACTACACTACAGAAACTGTGGGAGGGTACCTCTACAAACCTGGTGTGGTAGAGTGTCGACCATAACAATTATTGAGGGGTGGACACTATTGTGCCTATGCGTGTGAGCTGGGGGACTGTCAGGGATTCTCTACTGTTTTAAACAGCAATCCTTCCTCTTGCTGTGTCTGAGCTATTCAGCTGCTTTCTAACGATCAGCCCCTTTATTACCATTTCCACAGTTACTCACCGGGTTGTCAGCACTTATGTTAATCAATGCAGCCTATTAAAGTAGCAAGTTCCAGTACCTTCTTGGCCTTGCGTGGCTTCCTGTTTCCCAGAAGACTTCCTGTTTCCTTTTTTTTCCTGTGTATTCCTGGTTCCTTACATCTGGAGATGTTCATGACTCCACTGCTCTCCGTTCTCCTGATTTCGCCTTGCTTTGGTGCCTGACCCCTCTTGCCTCCAGGAATTTGCTTTTGGTTTATTTCATTTGTTGCTATTTATTAATAAAGATGTGTTGCATCTACATTCTGTCACTCAACACCCATAGATGGGGGCTGGGATCAGGGCCAGATTAACATAGAGGCTGATGGAGCTGCAGCTCCAGGCCCATGCTCATGCCCTTGCCCATAACTGTTTGACCAAATGAATGAAAAAAAACTACATTTTGTCCATGCACAATCTCCTATCTCCCCATCAAAGTTGTCAAGTGCTTCTGGCAGCAGCTGCTAACTAGATACAGCTGCAAGCTAAGCCTATGTCTCACACTAGAATCAATCCCCCAGACTACGAAAGAGGAAATTTTCTTTCCCTTGTTACTGAAAACCACAGTACCAAAAAGAAGAATTTTCTTTACTCCAAACAAGTAACAAAAAAAACAGAACAATTTTTAACAACTGAATATTGTAACCTAGTCTCACACTATGATTAATGAAAAATGCCTGTCAATCTCGTATCTCTCACTCAAAGTTATTTCACATTCTCCTGGCAGTAGCTGCTAGCTAAATACAGCAGAAAGATAAACCTTGTCTCATGCTAGAATCGATGACCTAGGCTATCTCATACTCCAACACAGGCACATCAAGGGTAACCACACAGGATCACTGCTGGTCTGCCTCCCTTAATAGCTGAAGTCAAAATGTCTGGAAGAAGTCTGCTTGGATGTATAATTGTTTAATGATTCTCCTTTTTCCATGTCTTTTGGTCACTTCACTTTCTCTTTGCATAAAATCAGCATTTATTGGTTGTCTTCTACCCATCAATCACATGTTTTTCCTACCTCTTTCTTATACAGAAGATCTAGCCCACGTGATTGGGCAAACCTCTGTCCATTATGGCAAACTAAGCATTTACTTGCCCTCATAAAAAAAAAAATAAGAAATAACCTCTATTCCATTTCATTTAACTTTTTTTTGGTGTCCGGAAGACCACTCTGAAACACAGACGAAAATGTAGTAAACAAGTACAGGCTCACATAAGTCAATTCCCCCAAGATTCTGGTTTGTGGCATCTCAGAAACTGGATTTTTGACCATCCCCTGAATGGCACAAATTTGGCCAAATTGCAATTTGGTCAAAAATGAATCTCCACGTGAATTTTAAAATAAAAGATACTTTGGTGTGGTGCATGTTATCACTGCCAGAAAGAACATTATATGAAGTTAGTATGCATTTTCACAACACAGTAAGTATGCGCTGGAAAAACTAAGAAAAGAAAGGTATATAATGAACAGGAAACTGACAGTTATCCAAGGACTCTGCTACCTGTAAACATATCATTTGTATTTATCATTGATTAAACATTTGCATATTTTTCCTAATCAATTTTGAATATGGAAATGAATATGGTTATAAGTGACTCTCTGACATAAACTATTGAATGAGTTTTTAATTCCGGCTGATTGTCAGTGGACCATATAGTCTGTCATCATGGCACTTTAATTTGCATTGAAGGAAAAAAAGCTGACATGTCATTTGTCTACCTTGATATATTTGCATTAAATATAGTGATTTTAAGAGCAGACATTCATTCTTTAAGTGGGATTAAGCCAGAAGTCGTTATTCCTCACAGTGAATGAAGATGCTTACTCCATCTCTGCTGATATACTGGTCACTCACAGGAGTTATAATCACAGCTGGTATCATCATCAGCATACTTTTTCTGTTTGCTAACATTATTCAATGGTCAAACAGCAGACATTTTAAGCCATGTGATAAGCTACTGGCAACGCTGGCATTATTTCGATGCCTTCATTACATTTCAATGATTTTTACCATGGTCGAAGTGATCTATTTTTCACTAAATTTTATAAATTACCTACCTGGTTATCTCAAATTTACCATCTCAGTTGCTGTTCAGTTTTTAGACTTTTCCTCTTTTTGGATTGCAACCTGGCTCAATGTTTTGTACTTTGTCAATATTGCATTGAATCGGCATCCTCTGGCCTTGCGTCTCAGACTGTGGATCACATCAGTGGAACTACCAGCACTTCTTGGATCTACGTGTCTTTCCCTTGTGTTTGGAACTGTTCACTCTTGGAGTTTTAAAAATCCATCAACTTCCCTGAATTATCTCTCTGTAAATGTAAGTGACTCAGTCAGACTGGGATGTTGGATAGCTTCCAATACATTTGGTCGAATCCTTCCTTTCATAGTGCTCTTTGTTTTATCCTGTATATTGACATATAAACTCATGGCACACGTAATTCAAGTAAAGAACAATTTCACTGGTTCCATGAGACCGCAAGTCAGTGTCTTTTCTGCAGCTATTAGATCTATCTTGCTTTTGGGTTTATGTTCTATGTGTCAGTTGGTGGCCAGTATGGCTATAGGATTTAGCTCTAGCAAGTTACATAGGTTGGAAATACCATTAATGGTTGGCCTTTCCTGTCCTGCTATTCACACCATCATAATTATTGAGGGTAATTCCAAAATCAGAGAAACGTTTGTGAACCTTGTTCAGTGTTCTTGGAGTAAACAGAATATCAGAAGGACAGAACATCCAATTCAAACAGTTGCATATTAAATAGATGATGAAGGTTCCTACAGGGAAATTACTAAAGTGAGAATTGAAGGTAGATTCAAATTGAATTTTAAAGTTAAGCTAAAAATAGCTGCACTGGAAAAGTTCTCTAAGTCAGCTGTTCTTTCAATTGAGTTACTCTGACCTTAAATTTTAATTCACTTTGAATTCTCAAACGAGTATATAGCCCTGCTCAAATGTCAAGGTGCACCAACACAGTATCCCTGGAACCCCCATCAGTATGGCCTGCACAGTATGAAGGAGCATTCACAGAGACCAGTGTTTGCCTATATGATAAAGACTCTATTTCCCACCGACGATAGCTGGCATGTGCTATAAATTATCACTTCTCATCTCATCCACCGGCACTGGCAAAGACCTCCAGGGACATTTTTCATACCCATTGTAATCTGGCAGCCTTGTCTGTGTCTTAGTCCACTCAAAAATATCCCAGTAGGCCAGTCCAGGCATGGAGAACACTGAGGTCACAAACTACCAGCTCATGCACAAACCTGGGCTAGCAAAGGTCATTCACAATTCCTGCATGATGATTTACTTCTTCAGAACTGTGCAAACAGGCATCCCAAAACACTTCCCATTATAGTTTGAGGCTGTAACCCACAACCTGATGGCCAGCCCTCCAATGTCAGTGATCTGGGGTGCAGTGTTACCTCCTTGTCAGCACTCTGAATATTGGGCACTAATTCTAAAGTACAAAAAACTTGACACTTCTGAGCACACGGCCTTCACTTGTCAAGATAACGTCATATGCTCTGCAACATAGAAGATACTCTGCAATGACATAGATTATTGATCTAACCATACTATGTTGGTGGAAGCCACGAAACA